TGCAGAAAAGGCCCTGGGGGTTACAGTGGATGAGAAGCTGGATATGAGTCAACAGGGCGCCCTTGTAGCCAAGAAAGCTAATGGCATATTAGGGTGCATTAGGAGGAGCATTGCCAGCAGATCCAGAGAAGTGATTATTCCCCTTTATTTGGCTCTGGTGAGGCTACATCTAGAATATTGTGTCCAGTTCTGGGCCCCGCACTATAGAAAGGATGTGGACGCATTAGAGAGGGTCCAGCGGAAGGTGACCAAAATGATTATGGGGCTGGAGCGCATGACCTATGAGGAGAGACTGAAGGATTTGGGTTTGTTTAGTCTGCAGAAGAGAAGAGTGAGGGGGGATTGGATAGCAGCCCTTCGACTTCCTGAAGAAAGATTCCAAAGAAGATGGAGAGAGGCTGTTCTCAGTAGTGACAGATGGCAGAACAAGGAGCAGTGGTCTCAAGTTACAGTGGGAGAGGTCTAGACTGGATATTAGGAAAAACTATTTCACTAGGATAGTGGTGAAGCACTGAAATGGGTTACCTAGGGAGGTGATGGAATCTCTATCCCTAGAGGTTTTTAAGTCTCGGCTTGACAAAACCTTGGCTGGGTTGATTTAGTTGGGATTGGTCCTGCATTGGGCAGGGGGCTGGACCTGATAACCTCCTGAGGTCTCTTCCAGCTCTATGATTCTGTGATCTGGCTGTAGTAGATCTCACCACAAATTGCTTATGGTATTTTGGACCAGTGGTAAGAACAAGCTATTTGCAAGGTATTTCCTACTGACTCAATTTAGAGTTTTAAGATTTTTTTTATCGAATTATGAAGTCTGAAGCACAACCAGTTCCTAACTTAGAATATCAATAAATAAGTTTTCATGGCTTTACATAGACATTAAGGGTATGTCTAAACTACATTGCTCCGTCGATGGAGCCATGTAGATTTGTTGTTTTGGCAAAGGCAAATGAAGCCGCGATTTAAATGATCGCGGCTTCATTTACATTTACATGGCTGCCGCGCTGAGCCGACAAACAGCTGATCAGCTGTTTGTCCACTCAGCACGCTAGTCTGGACGCTCCCCTGCCGACATCAAAGCCCTTTGTCGGCAGCCCCGCCCGCCTGGTCTGGCCCCCCCCCTGCCGACATCAAAGCCCTTTGTCGGCAGCCCCGGTAAACCTCGTCCCACGAGGAATAACGGGGCTGCCGACAAAGGGCTTTGATGTCGGCAGGGGAGCATCCAGACTAGCGCGCTGAGCGGACAAACAGCTGATCAGCTGTTTGTCGGCTCAGCGCGGCAGCCATGTAAATGTAAATGAAGCCGCGATCATTTAAATCGCGGCTTAATTTGCCTTTGCTTATGTGTCTAATCTACATGCTTCTGACGACAGAGGCATGTAGTCTAGACACAGCCTAAGTGTGTGTGCTGTGCCCTTAAACATGTACATGCTATATGAGCGGACAAACAGCTGATCAGCTGTTTGTCGGCTCAGCGCGGCAGCCATGTAAATGTAAATGAAGCCGCGATCATTTAAATCGCGGCTTAATTTGCCTTTGCTTATGTGTCTAATCTACATGCTTCTGACGACAGAGGCATGTAGTCTAGACACAGCCTAAGTGTGTGTGCTGTGCCCTTAAACATGTACATGCTATATGCAAATACATCAGCACCGACAACTGTCTTATTGAAAAAGATTATAATGCTTAAAAACCCTTGTAAGAGGCTAAAAATGATTTATTTGTATGCAAGCATTTAATATAAAATTTAAAATATATTTAATTTACTGTAATCTGTGGAAAAGAGATTACATTGCACACCCTTAGAGATTCAAAATGTTCCATTTATCCAGACCAGCACTTCCATCTTATCTTATATCACCTTGCACCTATGCCTCCTCCCACGACTAGGGCAGTCCAGAGTCTTTCACTCCTTCCCTTCTCTGCTGGCACTCCCATTAAAAAGTGACTATTACTGCCACTGATGGTGATACTTGCAATGGCCCTTAGGAACTCACTTGAGACTACTCACTCATTTTATATAGATTACTAAAGAGTTTGGCTTTTTGTATACCTATCTGCAAAGTAGTACATGAAGTTTTGATATTTTGGAGGCTGGGGACAGGGCTGTAGTACACTGTGCTATGGCTATCTTCATCTTGTAATAGCACCAATAAAAGGCAGTGGAATCCATAGAGCAGCCTAATGTGCAATGAATTCCAGTTTGCCCCCCAACTCTTGACAAGATCGGGGGAAAATAGAACATTGTAGATCAGTTTTATATCTGCAACAATCTGTAACTGTATACATTAACAGACATCCCAGTTGTCAGCTGACCTCATGAAGATAGTTTTGTAGACCCCATGATCTTTATCTCTAAAAATGCAGGCCTCCGCCCAATAAGGGAAAACATAACTTCACTCATTCGTGGAGTATTGACCTGAAAAGACTTAGTATATGTTAATTTAGACAGTCCGTATTTTATTCTCTCTTGGTAATGTCATATCAAGTTTTTTAACATAGTTTTACATAAACTATAAACTTAAAAATCAACAAATGGTCTGGTAGCACTTTATAGACTAACAAAACATGTAGATGGTATCATGAACTTTCATGGCCACAGCCCACTTCTTCAGATGACCAGTGTTTTGAATTCATCTGAAGAAGTGGGCTATGCTCATGAAAGCTCATGATACCATCTACATGTTTTGTTAGTCTATAAAGTGCTACCAGACCATTTGTTGTTCTTTTAAGTTTATCCTGTATGTAACTCGCCTACCCCCTGAAGCTTATAAACTATAAACTTTGCATAATGTTTTTAATGGCATCATTCTTACCACGTATGAAACTTCACAGAGGAATTAAAGTTTGAGATATTATTGTATAGAGTAGTGTAATGTTCACTTTGTATAGCTCTTTTGCTCTGAATTGTAAAGACTAGTTTGATTGAAGGCCTACATTTGATATATTTTCATTCAAAAGATTTTATGATTCTGAAAAGTGTTTTTGTGCCTTTTTTTTTTTAAGTGTGGAAGTGATTCGACTTGGACACAGCCACTTCATAAATTGTGATCTTAAAATGTATTATCCCAAAAAAGACACACCTGCTGAAGTTCGGACTACCACACTCAATGAAGAGTTAGGACAAATTGAATATATTTTCTCAGACAAAACTGGAACAATCACTCAGAACATAATGACTTTTAACAAATGCTCCATTAACGGAAAAACATATGGTATGTCAGTTCTTATTAATATTTTGCCAGTAAAGTTTACTTCTAATTTTGATGTTGAGTTTAGCTCATTTCCTGATTATTAAGTACATTTGTTCCTTATGAGACTTATCCAACTTCTCTTGTAGTCCATGTAGAAACTCTGAACAACTTCAGTACGTTTGGGATCAGGTTCTATATAAGAGAAACAGGTTTTGATGTTGTTGTGGTTGCTTAAATATGTAAGTATGGGTTTAGAGGTACCATGTCCATCTTCTGATAGTCGAGGATTTAATGCAGGATTAAAGAATGGAGATAACACAAATAGTCATTACACTGTATATATAAATTAAATGTAGGGGGCTTTTTCATGAACTTTCAGGGCACATTGTAACCTTCAGTGATTTATTGAAATCTTCCTAAAACTGAGTAATATTTTAAAAAATGCATATTCATGATACTACTTGTAAAGTCTGAGAAATCTTCTTTATAATATAATTATTTTGTAATAATGTCCAGTGTTAGAAAATGATTGATTGCCTAGCACCTAGCAGTTACTGGGCAAATTATCCCACATCTCTACAAATAGAATGAAATCATGCCCTGCCACAGGCTTAATACCTAGTATTTCAAGTGTCTATTTTACAACATTTGTGTAACCTTAACACCTGTTCCCTAGGGAATAGCTTGAGACCAGTGAACTCCTTTTCAGTTGTAATTTAAGTCAAGATTTCACATCTTCAGAGGTGAAAAAGCTACTCCAATACTTAACTTTCAGATTAAAAGACACTGAATAATTTAAGGTGAAAGGCTGATATGTATTACTTGACTTTTACACTAGTAAATACAGGTATAATATAAAAAACATGGTATTAAAATCATATAGTGTAAAGTGATCATTCTTTAAAAGCCTGCCAACTGTCTTAGAGAATGTTAGATTACTAATATAACTACATTAATATGTACTAGTATTCTAGGTAATCTCTATAGCAAATATAGAGAAGTTTAGGTAATACTGCAAATATGGTTATTTTTGCAGCAAGTGAATATTTTTATGTCTCAATTACTTAATAAATGCTGTATAAAACTTCAGGGCCTGATCCTGCAAATATGCAACAAATATCTTTACTTTAGAATAGTTCCATAGACTAGTATGGGGTTACTCATGTGAACTAAGTAGATTCTTATGCATAAATGATTGCAGAATCAGGCCCTACACAATCAAAATAAGTACAATAGCCGGAGAAAAAAAATACCATGAACAATAGAATGGAAACATTTACTTTATTATAATATTGGCTGTATCATAATCCATTGCAATATTATATATTTTTGAATGCTTTTGTCTTTGCCATTTACCTTAATAGTCTAAAAAAAATTAAAAAGTTACTTCATAAAATGCTAAAACTGGAATTAAATGTCTTTTTTTGCGTTAATTAACTTTGTATTTTGTAGGTGATGTATATGATGAGTTGGGCAGGAAAACAGAAGTTAATGAGGTATAGATATGACCACGTTACTAAATATTTAATATTTATAATATGGCTTATTTCATCATTAAAATATTTTCAATAGATCATTAATTTTCAATAAATCACTAATTTCTCCTGAACTTGAAACATCCTATAGAATAACATATAGTAAGTCATAGGCAAGATGAAAAACTGAATTTTCTTTTCCCTCTAAGGCCTGGTTTACACTACAGAATAAGGTCAAATTAAGATACTCAACTTCAGTTACATTAATTGTGTAGCTTAAGTCAAAGATCTAAACTCAAATTTTGGTGCTGTCCACGCTGCGGGAAGTCGAAGGGAACAAACTCTCCCTTTGCCTTCTCTTACTCCTCATAGAAGCTGGACTACTGGCATCGATGGGAGTGCTGCTCTCAGTTCAAATTAGCGTGTCTTCACTAAATCCGCTAATTGGATCCTCAGAAGATCGACTGTGGCTGCTTCGATCTTATCTGTAGTGTAGACATGACCAAAGAGTTTGTTTACATTTAAAAATTTATCAGAATAGCTATTCTGGAATAATTATGCCATGTGAGAATCTGTATGCACACTCTTATTTTCCAATAGCTATTTTGGTGAACTTCGAAGTGTAGACATATCCTTACATGCAGACTCACAGACAGGAATGAGCAAAGGAGACAACTGCCCCTAGGGCCCAGCAATACAAAAAGTCCCAGATCCCCTGGCCACCACTGCTGCTACTGCAGCACCAGCCGGAGTCCTGCACCCTTTAAATTGCTGCCAGATAGTCGCACAGCACTAAGGGCTGCCTGGGGGAGGCATGGCTCTGAGAGCTGCCTGGCCTTAGCCCTACCACTTCCACCCAAGGCCCCACCCCTTCCAGGTTCATGGAGCAGAGTTCCCCCTGCCTTGTTCAGGGGCCTGGCAAGGGGCCCAGTTGCTTACATCTTCCTTTAGGACTCTTTAAGAAGTACTGTTTAAGGTAATTTAAAGCACTTAATGTTTTTATGTAACAATCACCATTCTTTATCTTAAGTTGAGGAGTTGTTTGTTGGGCTGGCTGAAAGAAGAGAGTGATACTTGATGGCTTGTGGGGAGAGGTGAGAGATGTAAAACTACCTGAAACAAGGCCAGCATGGTGGCTGCCTCATCACCCAGGAATGAAGGATTTTAAAAGATCATCCTGGGACCCTCCCCTCTTATTCACAGAGCAGGATTAGTAGCACTCACCCTCTCTCCTTATTCTGGTGGTAATTATACCAGGTTGTTGGTCAGATCTGCTATGGGCATTTCCCTAGCCTCCCTGTCGAAGGGGGCTGGGAAGGAATTTTTTCCTTTCCACCATATTGGCTCAGGTGCAGTTGGTTTTTTTTCCACCTTCCTCATAGCAAGTTTGGGTGTGCCCTGTTCATGCAGAAGATGATGGGCGGTAGGCCACATGTTGCAACTCATTATTTAAGTGTATAGCAGATGTTCATTCCAGGTACTCCAGAGAAGAAGGCCTACAGTAATGGACCATTGTCTGTGAGAACAAAAAGTTCATTACAAATGCAAAATCCAGATATGTAATACCATTAAATTAAATTATGCCATTTCACTTTGTGTGGGTTTCTAATATTGTCTCTTAATACCAAAACAGCAAAATGAAAGGACCTCAACTATTTAAAATCTTTACTCTTTAAAAAAAAATTTTTTTCTCTTGCAGAAAACAGTGCCAGTGGATTTTTCATTTAACCCTCTAGCAGATAAAAAATTCCAGTTTTATGATCACAGCCTGCTTGAATCCATTAAATTAGAAGACCCAATGGTATATGAATTCTTTAGATTGCTTTCCCTCTGCCATACAGTCATGCCTGAAGAAAAAAAATCAGGTAAACTATTGAAAAACTTAGTTATAAAAAAGCTATTCTAACTACAGTAAAACCTGTGTTATCCAGCACGCTCGGGGATTAGAGCATTCCAGTTATCTAAAAATTCTGGTTATCTGAGGGTCCCATCAACCTAGGAAAAACCAATGGACAATAATAGTAAAACTCGAGTTTTTAATATTGGTAGTTTTGTAGCGTGAGGCAGTTGGTCTCACATTTCTATTTTGAGTTAAAGATGATTAGTACATCTTAAATAAAAAATTGTTAAACCAATAATGGTAAACCAAGACAGGCCTGTGCACCTGAAGATGCGACAGTATTGTGGCTGGGGGCAATGCTGGTTAACAAAGTTTTCTGGTTAACAGAGTGCTGGATAACAAAGCTTTCACTGTATTTGGTTCGTATACAACTTTTCTAACTTAAGAATGTATAGGTTAAGGCCAAAGTTTTAAAGAGAGAAGTGAGCCATTAGGTGCAGATTTTACATCCTTAAAACTCTGTATTTGGGCACAATGTTGGATGTTTCTGAGCTCAAATTAAGTGACGGTACATTCAAATATTAGCTGAACGAACAAATAATTGATTTTTATGTTCTTTGACACATTCAAATACTTTTTCATGATTGAAATTGTCTGGTTTCCACATATGAATATACTGTTTGTATTGTCTTTCTTATTATACCAGTCCGTAATTTAGTTCAAGCGTTTAAACATGGGTAGGTACTATTGCACATAAATTCATGTGCAAAATTAGAACTCAGGCGGATCTTTATTAAAAGTCTTCCCACAAAGGAGAAGAAAGAATAATTATTCCCTCTCTTTGGAGTATTGCATAGATTTATTTTTGTTGAGCCTGTTAGTACTGATTTGGATATTTTTACAAGTGGAATATATGGTACATATCTTGGATGTGCCAATTAGCTCATGTGTTTGAGAACAAATTGTGTATAATACTTGGCCTGGTACTGTTCACAATATCTTCAACTGCAAAGTGATACAACTCTGAAATGGAAAATTAGGAAGCCTCTGAATGTGGTTGACTCGTGCCATGTGTTGTTCATGAAGAGATGCTAGTCTTACTATAATTCCTCATTTTTGTAAAAAATCCCCATCACGATACCAGTACAGGCAGTCCCCGGGTTACGTACAAGATAGGGACTGTAGGTTTGTTCTTAAGTTGAATCTGTATGTAAGTCGGAACTGGCATCCAGATTCAGCCGCTGCTGAAACTGATCAGTTTCAACAGCGGCTGAATC